CAAAAAACGAAAATTCCCGATATTTTCTGAACACACCTCGTATCCTAAAAATTAAATTAAATTTGAATTATTTTTTTAGAAGTTACATCTTTAAAAATTACCAAATTTAGCACCGTAGTGCTAAGTTTTTTGTACATATTTAAGGATCTGTAATCAAAAAATTATTACGATTTTTATTGATTTTTTTGAAGGTATACTAACTAAACGCTCTTTCAAGTGACTATTTCCCTCGTCTTAATGTCCACCAATCACAAACGCGCAATTTTGAATTACAAATGGTTTCTAGGTGAAAAAACTGTGTGACAGGCACCTGTCAGCAGTTTTTTCGAGTTTACCCGCGGCAAAACTTGACAGCTGTTGTCACCAAAAATTGCAATTTATATTTTAATTGTTAACTGTTACTCATGAAATAGTCTTGTCAAATAACATTCGGGCATCTAATTTTTCCTGTGAAAAAAAATCGAAAAAACACAATGCTAAGTAATATTTGTTAACAAAAGGCATTCGTGCAGGTGCAAAAATCCTCCTCTTTGACTCGGATTTTTGTTGCCACCAGCACTCATGCTTTTTGTTAAAATATCACTTAGCAACGTGTTTTTTTCGATTCTTTTCGGAAAAATTAAATGCCCTTATGATATTACTTACGACTATTTCCCTCGTCCTAATTTCCACCAATCACAAACGCGCAATTTTGAATTACAAATGGTTTCTAGGTGAAAAAACTGTGTGACAGCACCTGTCAGCAGTTTATTCGAGTTTACCCGCGGCAAAACTTGACAGCTGTTGTCACCAAAAATTGCAATTTATATTTTAATTGTTAACTGTTACTCTTGAAATAGTCTTGTCAAATACCATTCGGGCATCTAATTTTTCCTGTGAAAAAAATCGAAAAAACACAATGCTAAGTAATATTTTTTAACAAAATGCATTCGTGCGGGTGCAAAAATCCTCCTCTTCGACTCGGATTTTTGTTGCCACCAGCACTCATGCTTTTTGTTAAAATATTACTTAGCAACGTGTTTTTTCGATTCTTTTCGGAAAAATTAAATGCCCTTATGATATTACTTACGAAAATCTCATTTTAATAGAACTTTAAGTACAAATGTAATAATGATTTTTACAAATAAAATCCAATTTAGATGTAGTTTTCGGGATATATTAACTAAACTATCTTCTTTAAAGTAAGTAAAAAATCGCATTTTCCTACGATTTACAAGTATACAATATTTGTTACTAATAATCAAAATTGCGATATCGAAGACTAATATTTTATTGTAACTAACCTATATACAGGGTGTCCGGGAAAAGGAGGTCAATCCGTTAACCATATATTCCTTGAGTTAAAACAATAAGACTTTCATAATACCATTTTTCAATTTAGAGCTTCATGTTCGATATACAGGGCGACAAAGTTTGAAATTTAAAACTGATTTTTTTTAATAATTCGAGTAATTGATATTAAGTTTAAATTCGGTACACTACTTTAACATAAATAGTTACATTTTTTGAGACCAAAAAAATAAAAAACAATTGTCAAATAATGAAAATAGGGGGGTCCAGTACTCACTGACTCCCCCTATTTTTTAGTACGTGCGCCAATGACTTCCAAACGTATTTTTTCAGGTAATAATTTATTGTTGAAAATTTTTTGTCTCTTATAAAATTTTGATAAAATGATTTGTTTTAGAGATAATTTGTAAAGTATGGGTCAGTCCATATCAAATTTTCGAAATTATTTTTTTTTTAAATTTAGGTCATGTGATATATCATGAAAAAGGTCTCTAATAGGCCTTTAAAATAAGCCATCACTTACCTTTCTACTTTTAATAGTTTACGAGATATCGCTATTTTTGTAAGTACTTGCAAGACCCAAATTTATCGGATTTTTTGATTTTCAAAAATCAATAAAACAAAAACCACCTATCGAAAAAAATTCATATATGGGATTTTTGAGTTTTTTATTGCGGTAAACAAATTTACCAAGAATTATCAAAATCGGAGATGGTGGGGGAAGAACCTTTGGTTGATTTGATATGGACTGACCCATACTTCACAAATTATCTCTAAAACAAATCATTTTATCAAAATTTTATAAGAGACAATTTTTTTTAACAATAAATGATAACCTGAAAAAATACCGTTTGGAAGTCACTGGCGCACGTACTAAAAAAGAGGGGAAGTCAGTGAGTACTGGACCCACCCAATTTTGATTATTTGACAATTGTTTTTCGTTTTGTTGGTCTCAAAAAATGTAACTATTTATGTTGAAGTAGTGTACCGAATTTGAACTTAATATCTTATCAATTACTCGAATTATTAAAAAAAATCAGTTTTAAATTTCAAACTTTGTCACCCTGTATATCGAACATGAAGCTTTAAATTGAAAAATGGTATTATGAAAGTCTTATTGTTTTAACTCAAGGAATATATGGTTAACGGATTGACCTCCTTTTCCCGGACACCCTGTATGTATGTATACAGAAAATATCATTGATCTAAGCAGATATTTTCAGACAACTTTAATTGGGCATGTAGAGGCTAATAAACTGCTCAAAAGTAGTTTCTGGTAGATAATGACGTTTAATAATAAACCATTGGTTCTCAACATTAATTATATTTTTTATATAAATTTTATTCTTGCTTTTAACTGTACACTGCGTAATTTGGGCATTACGAAAGTAGTCCAAGAATGATTCGTATAGGTACGCTAAACGAGTTTCAACTTTTATCTAAATGAGTTAATAATGATAAAATTTTTCCTGTGAAATTTAGGTTTATTGTTACAATAAATATTTTGTCGGTGAGACTTTTATAGATAAAATCAAAAGGTTTTTTGTTATTAAAGGTACAGAGCTTTAAAATGTTCAAATTAATTTTTATTGGGTATTTAAGAGTATAACGATAAAAATGCGAATTTTATGTTAAAACATGTTATACAGTACACCCCTAAAATTTCATAAAAATCGTAATAATTTTGTGGGAGTTACAGATCTTTAAAAATGTCAAAATTTAGCACCATGGTGCCAAGTTTTTTGGACATAGTTAATGGTCGGTAACTTTCACAGAATTATTACGATTTTTATGAAATTTGCAGGGTATTTTAAACAAAGCACGCTCTTTCGAATACAATTATTAAAAATGTCGTGTTTTTGTCGGTATACTCTGAACTGTCTTAAAAACACCGTTTTAGAAGTACCTAAATGTCTTAACTTCCTAAAACTACTAAAACCCTCTTAAAGCTGCCTTAATATCTTTCTAAATTTTTCCAAGCAAGCAAAAATATCCAGAAGTACAGGGTGTTGTAATAATATCTTCTCAATTATTGCCCAAGATTATGTACCATTAAGGTGACTGGGGCAGTTAACGCGTTGGAATTCCATGTATAACGTAAATAATCAAGCGAATATCTACTATACTACATATTGTGTAGTATGTAGCGGTATTTTGTTCCCCTCTTTCCTTTCGAAGTGTTCGTTAGTTTTTAAAGGTATCAGTTTCTTCTCTTGCTGTGTACCAGTAGAGAGGCAAATTCCATTTGAAGGGAATGCTCTGTTACTGCCTAGGTCAGGAACTTGATGGAAGTTAGAAGTACGCTGTTATACATTAGTATCTAGTACTTAATAAGATATTTTTATGAGAATTAGCCATTACACAACATAATCATAGCTCTGTGCAAACACCTACGAGTTAAACATGCGTTATATCATAGGTACATAGTTAATGTCATTAATCAAAAAACTTACAATTACCGCATTACAAATCTCAAAGAATGTACTTATTCCGAGTAACCTTTTACCTTTTACTTGATCAATTAACTTCTGACACTTAACATTTGTTGCGTAATCAAAATTATATGTTTAGTTCATAAATTAAAATATCTTTCCATGCAACGCATATAAAATCGGAAAGCATTAAATCCTTTTATCCTTTTATCTTCAGTTTTTGTTTTTGGAAGATTTAATAAAGTATTAGGAAATGTTATCAAAATAAAGGTGAAAAATGTGGTTTTGCCAACTTCTGATATGGCCAATAGTTTGGGTATGGTGATGGATACCTACTGATCTACGATTTGAAAATATATTAACAGCTGTTTAAAAAAAGCATTCATATTGTAATCTAAAACTCCTATACCCACATTGTCATATATTATCACAAAAATTAAAACTAAAACTTACTGACACCCTGGTTCTTAATCATTTTAACTATTGCGATATTCTTTACAGTCCTGTTTAAAAAGAAACAACAATAAATAGTACAGAGTGTGCACAAAATTTGCCTGCGCTATTCATTTATGATCCAATCTATTACAAACTTTCCGAAAGTAAGTGGCAAATAGACGTAAGCTACACTCTGTCATTTTATTGCATAAAATTATCTTACATGAAAAACCCTCTTACCTCCACCAAAAAATTAAGTACAGAACAGACGTTCACAATGTTAATTTAAGACATAAAAGTCTTATTTTAACTTCAACTTATAGAACAGAAATATTTAAGAGAAATTTTACCTACAAAGTTTATCTGCTTTACCCAAATAAATCTATTATTATTATTATTATTATTAATATTCTGTATATCACCTGTTTAGAAATGTAAAAAGATAACATCAGATAAGCTTCACAATACTATTTATTTATACACCTATTAATTAGTTTATATGTATTATTTGTAGAGTTTAAACCTTATTTATAAGTTAGCAATGCCGGCATTTCGTTGGCCGTCATTTTTAAAACGTAGTCGCTCATTAAGAGTTCAAAATGCGGAAGCTAGATGTCTCCAAATCAAACCTAGGTAAAAAAAAACTATTAGTACGGCACCAAAGTGTCGTTATTTCTTTAACGGCTCCATAAATGTAAAAATTGTATATAACCTTTTTTGTAGAGAATTTCATAACCTGCATTTTTATATATGTATTTTTAACTAATAGCAAGACCAAACAACGCAAAAATATAATTTTACGATTTTTTCTTTTTCTTCAGATGTGACTCTCTGGGTACCACTATGGAGGAGGTGGTCGACCGAGGGGGTGGCCCTGAAGAGGGCCTCCTGCTGGTAAAAATCCACGTCCCGGAATTAAACGTGCAAAAATGCCTCCAATTTCCGCGGGACCAGCTCATCTGGGACGTCAAACAACAGTGCTTAGCCGCCCTGCCTAAGGTAAGATTTTGAGTTGATTTTGTTGTGCTAAAGCAAAATAGAGCTGTTTGGTGGAGGGTTTAATTGTTGTGGTGGGTTGAACTTGATTTTGTCGGTATACCCTTAAAATTTGAGTGATATTGGTGTTGGTTGGTTTGTGAGAGATACAAAAAATGGTGACCAAGAACAAACAACAAAATTTTAAATCTGTTGCTTTTAGTTTGTAAAAGTGAAATAATAAAAATTTAATAGTTTTAGAGTAAAACTTTTATTAGATTTAACCGAGGATTTAACAGTCTCTTCTTATAATTTTTACAAAAAAAGTTATGATGTTATCAAGTTTGTATCAATATTTTACTTAAAAATCTGTAACTTTTTTGGTAGGTAATTATAATTACTTAATATATTAAAAAATTTTCAACACCAATGAAATTTTTGTTAAATATCATTAAAATTTATAATTTTATAGGCGTTACAGAGCTCTAAAATAACCCCAAACTTAGCACTATGGGTTTAAATGTAAGAGTTAACTTTAAAGCTCTGTAACTTTTACACGAGTTTACCAATTTGTATGAAAATTTTAGTGTTCTAAGCTCTTTTTAAAGAAATCATTTAAAACGTCTTTTTATAACGTATTTAAGATATACATATGCATACATGTACCATCAAAAATACTTCCCATTTTCAACCACAACAATTTTTCCCACATGTGTTTCTATTTTTGCAAAATTTAAGTTTTTGGTTTATTTTGTGGCGTTGCTTATTTTTTATAGTTTTGGATTTTGTGTAAAAATAATAAAAATAAAAGTGGTTAATGGTGAAAATATTTCTAATATTAATAATAAAGGTGATTTAAATATATCAAAGTTTCCTTTATCTAAATCACTTAGCAAATATTTACATAATAAATATTTTAATCATTAATATACTTGTTATAAATTATGTATATATATATATATATATATATATATATATATATATATATATATATATATATATATATATATATATATATATATATATATAAATGTAATTTATAGTATACAAATATGAGTTATTTTTTTGCATTCAAAGTTAGCATAAATTTAAGATATAAATATATAATTTTTTTTTCACGTATGGTTAATGGGGTTTGGTATAGGTCGCTTCTTGGTATAGGGTAGGTATTTTATTTAAAATGCACCAGCATGATATACAGGGTGATACATAATCTTAAATAGTTAAGGAGCCCATAAATGGGGTTGATTTATGTAAAAAAGTTGCTTTATTTTTGTCAAATTTGCAAAATTAAGCTTTTTATTAAGCTTATTTATTATTATTATTATTATTTATTTACTGGAAATCATATTCAAATGTATTTTAACTTTTTAGTCGTAAATAAATAAATTATTATTATTATTGTGTAGTTCCAATTTTAACATCCTGTATCTCGGAAACGAAGCAAGGAAAAACTTTTTTACATAAAATTGACAATTTGATAATCTCAACTATTTTAGATAAATCTTTCTGTATAAGTATAAAAAACGCATGTATCTATCTCTAAATATAATGGCTGATTCTAGCATTTTTAATTTCCTTTTAAATTCATATTTGTCTATCGCGAGCCACCCGGTATAGCATCGAGTTTTCGATCGTTACATAATCAGTAAAGCGCATTTTAAAAAGCAAACTTGCATTCGGTCACGATTCGATCGTGTTCCGTGTACTTCGGGTCGGCTCAGGTGTGAAAAACAAATAACCTGGACTAGTCACATTGTTGCTCGAACGCCTACGGATCGATACTGCAACGCCCAGCCAAGAACAATCACACTGTTCTGAACTTGAATTCAAAGACAATGCTAAAAGTTTTTGTAAACATTTTTTGATGGATCTAAAGAGCGTGGTTTTGTTCCTACACCCTGAAAATTTTGTTTAATTTTGATGATTTTTGTGAAAGTTATAGAGCTTTTAAGTTGATTATTAAATTGTTTTGTATGGTTTTAGGTTTTTTGAAATTTCAGGGTATACCGATGAAAATACGACTTTTAGTAATAACGTTTTAAAGAGCATATTTCATTAAATAAACCCTGAAAATTTCATTAAAATCGCAAAAATGTTGTAGAAGTTACAGGACTTCAAAGTTAACCCTTAAATTTAACCCCATGGTGCTAGATTTTGAGTTATTTAAAAGTTCTGCAACTCTTATAAAAACAATGCGATTTTATTTAAAAGTTTAGGGTTTATTGAAAAATATGCTTTTTAAAATGCGGAACTTAAGAAAGTCTTATTTTTGTCGTTATTTCTAGTGACAGTTTTACAAAATATAATTTAAAATAAAAGGGAAAGTTTGGATTGGTATGAAAAAAGTTTTTTTTCCCAGACTTGCACGAAACGTCGCTATGCGCATGCCTTTATTGCCTGTTGTACGTAGAATTTCAGACTGTAATACGGGCTTAACTAGAGTAGGCTCTTTTAAATGCAAGAAATATGTCGTGTTTTGTCGGTATACCCTGAAATCTTGTAAAAAAGTGTTTGGAGCTCTATAACTTTGAACAAAATAGATTAATTTTGATAACATTTTTGAAGTATACACTGTAAAAACGTTGAGTGAAATTTCACTCAAAAATCACTCAATTAAGTATCAGAAAAGGTCCACACCAGATTGAGTTAATTTTTTACTTAATATACGTGAAATCTGAATTTTATGAGTAAAAAAAATCATCAAAATTGAGTGATTTTGTTCAGTTCAGATTCAGGTAAATGTGAATATTGGGTTTGTCTTGAGTAATTTTTTTGTTAATTTACAATTTATAGAACTCTTCAATGATTTGATTCTAATTCTTTTGAGTTAATCTATGTACATTTACGAGTTGACTTTAAGTCGATAGTCAGTACTTTTATCGCCTTATTTGATTATATTTCTTATAAATAAACTTATTACGGGTTATTTATGGTTATTTATAACATAAATTGAGTATATACCTATTACTCTTAATTGAGTTATTTTGTTCGCGTTTGAGTAAAGATTAAAAAGGAAATACATAAATAAAAATGCCAATATTTTCGTATCAATAACTGTAATTTAAAAATAAATAGTAATTATTCCATTTGAGTATATACCTATTACTCTTAATTGAGTTATTTTGTTCGCGTTTGAGTAAAGATTAAAAAGGAAATACATAAATAAAAATGCCAATATTTTCGTATCAATAACTGTAATTTAAAAATAAATAGTAATTATTCCATTTTATAAACTTATTTAAAATAAGAAAACATAATAGTTTATTCTGTAACAAGTTTGGAATACAGCATATTACGCTCGAGTGAAGAGTTTGTCACACGAGCCAAAGGCGAGTTTGACGGTTTCACGAGAGCGGAATATACAATTCCAAACGTGTTTGTAATTGTATACTTTTTCTACGTTTCCAAAAAATACCACAGAAAAATAATTTAATTAGAAGAAAGTGAGGTTGGATCGGTCTAAAGTTTGTTAGAAATTAAAAAAAGAGATATCGCCACGAGTGTTTCTTCTGTCATCCGATGATAGAATATTTCATTCTGTAACACATTACGGAATATATGTCATTCCATAGATAAAAGTGATATTAGAACGGTCAAATTCCGTAATAGGAGTAGAAAAATAGTATTTCATTTTACTTACTCATTATTATTATTATTTTATAGAACTATGTATACGTATATACCTTATTACACCATCCACTGCACCACACTAACAAACAAACACCATAGAATAATTCGTATGTAATAAAATAAAATTGTCTAAAACTTTTAGATATACAGGGTGTTATGTAATTAATGTTATATATTAAAATACTGAATACCTTTTGACATAAGGAATAAAGGAAAAATATTTTAAAAAGCATTTTTCCAAAGATAAAGAAAAAATATGCATTAGAAGTTTTTTATATTTTTTGTGATGCGCCACTGGTTACACACTTATTTATCTCTGCACACCTGTATTTTGTGAGTACATAGATACCAACCAACAAAGTAGCTATGCGTTGCCAGATGTAAAAAATTGTTACTAAAAATTTTTCTTGCAAAAAATAAATAAAAACTCAATAAATACAAAAGTTTTATGCCCTTAAAGCTCTAATACCCTTCTGTATTTATTTACTGATCCAGCTATTAGCTTAAGCAATGATTAGAAAATTTAGTACCTTTGAAATTTGAAATCCATAACCACAAAATTAATTTTTTCATCAGTTTTTTTTCTCTGTTTACTCAGATGAAATAGGGACCAGTTCACAGGTTAAACTTTAAACATTTAATTTGTGTAAATAAATCCAAAAGCACTTCCCTTAGTTAAGATATTTACAATTTGAAAACATAACCTATAATTTAAAAGAAATGCACTAGATTCTGTCATAAAAGTTGGCAGATTTTGTTTGAATTTACCTTCAGTACAAAAATGAAATAACCAACAATTAATAAAAACGCCAAATTGACATTTTGCATTGTTAATTTTGTCATTTTTGTAATTAAGCTAAATTTAAACAATGTTTGTCAACTTTTTTGAGAGATTTTGGAAAAACTGTTGTTAACAACCATAACATAATAAATCCACCAGATTAACCTAAAGTTCCTAGTCGATCAGTGGCGTACTTTTTGGTAGGATAAAGGTTATTATAAATTATTTTTAGACTTTGGAATTTAGAAAAAAAAAGTTTCAGGTGCTTCTTTATGGACCCTAAGGAACAACCCATTTTAATATATAACATTAATTACATAACACCCTGTATGATTAAACTAAACCAAACAAAAAAATGGTTATGGGCACGCTGGAAACTACAGGTTCACTAGTTTTAGACTGTCAGGTCGGGACGTAGAAAACTGTTGATGCTGCGACTTAACGCGAAAGGAATTATGGGAAAAATGCAAACGCTATGTTTGGCAAACCCGCTAGAAAATGGGTCTTATTTTCCAAAAAGAAATTATCAAATTGAGTAAAAGTCACTTGAAAAGAGTTTTTCTGTTTAATTAATTCTTTATGTGAGTGAAGTTAATCAGATTTGTAGGAA